AAAAAAAAAAAAATTACTTACTTCACACATCAAACCTCACACATCAAGAGTGGGAAACTTCAGTACCTCACTCTCACCAATGGACAGGTCATCCACACAGAAACTAAACAAAGAAATAATGAAGCTAACAGATGACTCAAATGGACCTAACAAATAGCTACAAAACATTTCCCTCAAACACAAAAGAAAATGCCTTCTACTCAGCACCTCACATAGCACTCTCAAAAACTGAACTCTGTCACAAAGCAATCCTCAACAGATATAGGAAAATTGAAATAATTATCTGTATCCTATCAAACCACCACAGATTAAAGCTGGATATCACAACAACAGAAAGCCTACAAACTCAAGGAAACTGAACAATTCTCTAGTAAAATGACTTCAGAGTCAAGGCAGAAATAAATAAATAAATTAGACACCCTAGGATTCAATGAATATGAATATACAACATACCCAAATTTATGGGACATAGGGAAAGCAGTGCTAAGAGGAAAGTTCACAGCACTAGGTACCTTCATAAAGAAATTGGGGAGATATCATACGAGCAACTAAACATCACACCTGAAAGCTTATGGAAGAAGAGGGAGATAGAAAGACCTGGAAGAGACAGGAGTTCCACAAGGAGAGCAACAGAACCAAAAAAATCTGAGCGCAAGGCTTCCTGAAGAGACTGATGAATCAACAAGGACCATGCATGAAGAGGACCTAAACCCTCTGCTCAGATGTAGCTCATGGGTAGCTCAGTCACCGTGGGGGTTCCCTAGTAAGGGAAACAGGGCTGTCTTCAACAGGGACTCAGTGGCCTACTCTTTGATCACCTCCCCCTGGAGAGGTGGCTTTACTAGGTTACAGAGAAAGAGGATCCCCAACAGTCCTGATGAGATCTGATAGGCTGGGGTGAAATAGTAAAGGAAGGGGACCTCCCTATCAGTGGACTAGGGAAGGGAGATATGGGGGAAGAGGTAGAGAGGCAGGACTGAGAGGAGATAAGGAAGGGAGCTTCAGCCAGAATACGAAGTGAATACATTGTAATAATAATGAAAAAAATTAAAAAAGAGCCATACACACCCAAGAGGAATAGACAGTAGTAAGTAATCAAAGGGCTAAAATCAGTAGAATAGAAACAAAGAGAAAATTCAAAGAATCAGTGAAACAGAGAATTGGTTCTTTAAGAAAATCAAAGAGGTAGACAGATCTTTATTCAAATCAACTAAATACAGAGAATACCCAAATTAACAAAATTAGAAATAAAAAGGGGGACATAACCACAGATACCTAATAAATTCAAAGAATCATTAGGACATACTTTAAAAACCTGTACTCTGTTGGATATATGCCTAGGAGTGGTATAGCTAGATCTTGAGGAAACACTATTCCTAATTGTCTGAGAAAGCACCAGATTGATTTCCAAAGTAGTTTTATCAGTTTACATTCCCACCAGCAATGGAGGAGAGTTCCCCTTTCTCCATAACCTCTCCAGCATGCATCATCCCTTTTTGATCTTAGCCATTCTGATGGTTGTGAGATGAAATCTCAGCATCATTTTGATTTGCATTTCCTGAATGACTAAAAATGTTGAGCATTTCTTTAAGTGTTTCTCTGCCATTGGAAATTCCTCTATTGAGAATTCTCTGTTTAGCTCTGTACCCCAATTTTTAATTGGATTACTTGGTTTGTTGGTATTTACCTTCTTCAGTTTTTTTTTTTTTTTTTTTTTTTTTTTTTGTATTCTGGATATTAGCTCTCTGTCAGAGAGTTGTAGAGTTGGTGGGGTACAGGAGTTGTCTCTGACATGAACTCAGTGGCCAGCTCTTTGATCACCTCCACTTGGGAGGTGAGGTGCAGCTTTGCCAG